TCATTGATTGTGTGCTCAACACCTCGACCCCTCCTGAACCCACAAAGAGGGAAAACAAGCACCAACATCCTGATGTACTCGGACTACTCCCAGCCAAGCTCACGCAGCTGGAGCACCGGCACTGCCTGTTGGACTGGGGAATCAGAGAATCATGGAATGGTTCAGATTGGAAGGGACCTCAAAGACCATTTAGTCCACCACCTGCCATGAGCAGGAACAGTTTCCACTAGATCAGGTTGCTCCAAGCCCCATCTAACCTGGCGTTGAACATTTCCAGGGATGGGGCAGCCATAGCTTCTCTGGGTAACCTGTGTCAGTGGTTTACCACCCTCATTGTAGAAAACTTTTGGGAAGTGGAGGCCAGTGCTGCCAAGGAGCCAGCCAAGTCTGCACTGCTGGTGGATGCTTCACCACCACACAAGGAGTTGCATGAGACAGCAGGATGGGCAGGACACAGAGCAGAGCACACCTCAAAAGACACACTCAGGTGGCACCCTAGGATCTCCAAGAGCTCACCCCGGGGGCTTCAGGACAGGCAGCAGCCTTGAGGGTTGGCTGCAAGAGGACAAGAGATACGATGATGCCTTCAAACATGCCATGGTAACTCAGGTTCACTTCCTCAGGGCACTTCTACACCCCTCGCATCATCCCACGCCTGTCCTCATCCACGGGATGCTATCACTGGTATTTCATCTCCCATTCACACCTCTCCAAGCATGTCAGCACAGCACTGGGAAGCAGTCACTCCATTACAGACACTTTCCTACCCCAGGAGCTGTTTTTCCCTTCTCTCATGGTCTCTGCAGGTGATAACCCTTGACATGAGCCTTTCCGGGAAAAGAGAATGCCGTTGCGTCCACCCCAGGCATTCCAGATTCAGAGAGCTCCTGGACACATTCCAGTGCTCCAGCCTCCACCCCATCTTGCCCAGCATCCATGTGGTCTCTGCTTAAATTCGGAAAACTGCTCACACTGGCCAGAATCTTTACAACATAAACAAACGGAGTTGAAGATGCACAAAATAAACCCATCATATGCCTTCAAGAGATTAAAGATGGTTCCTCAAACACTTGGAGGTGTATAATACAGTATGGACAGATCATTGCAAAGCATCCATAGGGAAGTCAGGCTGCTGGCACATGCTGGATACTTCATATGTAAAACCAGCTCGGAAGGAAGGGGAGCAGTGGGAGGAGGTTTCTGGCTTACACACAACTGTCCAGTTTCAGGCATTCAGCTCTTCTAAACAGTGAGAAAAAAAATTCTCCACCAAAGATTTCTGTGGAAAGCACAGCTCTTCTGACAACAGGAAGTTACTCACTTCAGAAACACAATTTTCCATCAAAAAAAATACAACTTGAAAGGTGTTACCAGCTCACTCGAGCTGCAGGATCACAGCCAGCAATTAAGCGCATCTGCTCACTGCTGGCTGCCCAAGGTGCTGTGGAGCTCTGGGAGCAGCCACAGAGCTCACTGATAATGTCCAGAGTAGGGGACAGAGGGGCAGAGTCCTGCCGTGGGCATGGGGACATGGAGCAGGCCTGCGTAAGGCAGCAGGCCTCTCCATCAGCCACGGATTCCTGGGCAGCAGCACCCTGCCAGCACGTTTTTAAGGATTTCAACTATTTCAAGTACTTGCAAGGATTCTCAGCACTGCCAGGGAGCATGTGGTGGTCAGAGCCCTGGACTGAGGCTGTGCGAGGTGATAGCACAAGATGCTAAAGCAAATATTAGCTCTGCCAGTGAAGTCCAGCATTGATCCCAAGGAATTCTTGCAGTGGAGGTAGTGCATTAGGAAAAGAGACACTCAAAACCAGCCCAAAGCATGCACAGCCAGAGGCAGGGATGTGCCAGGGATGAGCCAGAGGAGGGACACACCTTGAGGTCCCCCCCACCAGGTAGCTGCAGCCACCCTTCAGCTCTACAGCAAGCAGGGAACCGGGCGGGATGAACAGCACAGGAAGAATGTTTTCAGTGGAGGAAAGCTTCCCTCTGCGGCCAAAATCACTTCAGACTGTTATTTAAAAGGAAAAAAAAAGGTGTTCTGGCAATCTGTGAAGCTTCCTTAGATGGATTCGCCTGGCTGGCACAGGCTAGATCAGGGAGGAGTATTCCAAGGTTTTAATTTCTCTGCCCAGGTTTTATTGCGTGCAAACATACATGGTCATTGCTTTTGAAGGTTTCCAATTTGCTAATTGAGACATTTCCTCATGGAAAAAGAATGTCCTGGACTACGGAGGAGGCTGCTGGCACAGCTCCCCACACCAGGGAAGCTTAGGTGAGGTGTGATGCACACGGAGAGGAGCACATCAGTGGCTGCAGGCAAATCCCAGACCCCCTGGACCTCATTTGGCAACACTGATCCAAAGTCAGACCTTGTGGCAGTGACATAGGGGAGAAAGAAACAACATCCAGGGCCTGTTCCTCATGCTGTCATGGGTGTTTAGTCACACTCGTGACATGTGGGAAGTGGAGGCCAATGCTGCCAAGGAGCCAGCCAAGTCTGTGTTGCCGGTGGATTCTTCACCACCACACAAGGAGTTGCATGGGACAGCAGGACGGGCAAGACACATAGAGCAGAGCACACCCCAAAAGACACACTCAGGCAGCACCCTAGGATCACAGTGTGCTTGGGAAAGTTTGGAGAGGAGCAGGTAGAAAACCAGCCCAGGAAACTGGACATCTAGAAAGATTTCTTTCCGGGCATCAGTTTGCTTAAAAAAAGGAGGAAAAAAATAATCCAGTCTGCACAAAAAAAAACCCAAGTCTTCTGCCTTTCTGCTGGAACGACAGAAATATTCCTTCTGCCCTCAAAATCTCTGAGAGTGGAGAGAGTGACATTCTTCTGAACATGAACAGGACAATGAACCAAGAAAAACACTTTTGGGTCAGAACAAGCCTGAAACATGAAGGGAGAAAGGACCAAGGAAGCAGCAGCTGAGAAGGTGTGAGCAGAGTTCTAATGGGAACACGACTGCTGCCACAGCCACAGCCTCACCAGCGTGACCTCGGATGTGACCTGTTGTAGTTTTGTTCATACTAAAAAAAAAAAGGAATTAGAAGTGTTTTGCAGGCTCATGTGGAATGCACAGGGTATGGAGAGGGATTTCTAACTTTATATAGGTCAAACATCATCCACGCAGGTTCACATCACATTCACTTCAACCACAGCCCCCACATAAAGACTGAGCTTCAAAGTGCTCCAGAGGGATCCCAGGAAGTTTGCTCGCTCCCACCCCAAGACCAGTAGAACAGTAACTCAGTTTGAATTGATATGTGCCATGAGTGAAGGGGCTGGAAAAGCATAGCCCCCTCCTGCCCCTGCAGCTTGGGGTGGGTTTAGCATGGAAAAGATGGGCTGTCTGAGAGAAGGGGCTCCCTGCCACGGAAGCTGCTGCTGCTGGAAATGCTTCACTGAAAGCAAGACCCCAGATAATGGGACTATGGGAGGATATTCAGAAGCCTCCAAATCCTGATCAGGCTCCAGCCACCTTCTCCTCCCTGAGCAAGGTCCTTCTGGGACACACAGGAGCACTCAAGACAGCCCCCTTGGGACGGCATCTGCAAGCAGCCAATGTGCTGAGATTCCATGGGAGGGTAAAGGACAGAAAGGGAGTTTGAGGCACTTGGGGAGCTCTGCCACTGCCTTATAGGATCACAGAAGGATTTGGGTTGGGAGTGACATTCAGAGACAGTCCAGTCCAGCCTCCTGCCGCGGACAGGGATACCTTCCACTAGACCAAGTTGCTCCAAGTCCTGTCCAACCTGGTCTCAAATATTTCCAAGGATGGGGCAGCCACAGTTTCTCTGGGCAACCTGTGCCAGCACCTCAACACCCTCACAGGGAAGAATTTCTCCTTAATTTCCAATCTCATCCTGCCTTCTGTCAGCATGAAGCCATTTGCCTTTGTCCTGTCACTCTACGCCCTTGTCCAAAGTCCCTCTCTAGCTCTTTTGCAGCCTCTTTAGGCACTGGAAGGGGCTCCCCAGAACCTTCTCCAGGCTGAACAATCCCAACTTTCTTCCTAGCAGAGGAGTTCCAGCCCTTGGACCATTTCTGCAACCTTCTACAGACCTGCTCCAACAGGTGCATGTACTCCTTGTGCTGGAGACCCCAGAGCTCAACCCAGTGCTACTCAGGGGTCTCACAAGAGCAAAAAGGGAGAACCCCCTCCCTCCACACTGCTGGAATGTACCCAGGACACAGTTGGGTTTCCAAGCTGCAAGCACACATTGCCAGCTCACAATCGGTTTTTCACCCACAGCATCACCAAGTCCTTCTCCACAGGGCTGCTCCCAGCCTATCCATCCCCATTACTTCCTACAGCCTAGCTCTCTCCTCTCAGTGGAGAAGCTCTGAACACGCTGGCTCAAGGGAGACATGAAAGCATTCCTGGAGCACTTCTCAGGGCTCAGTGGTCCTCAGACATGGGCAGAGCCCACAGGGGAGGATTTATGGACAGCGGGAGGCTCTCACATGCCGCAGCCTGCGGGCTGGGAGCCTGCAGAACAGCTTTCCAGGAGGAAATGCTCACAGTCCAACCTGTCCCGCTCCCACCCTCTAAGAGGGCTGAGCAGGCACAGCCTAAGGGCTTCAGCCTTGGGGAATGATGCCACAGGTCCCCAAGGACACTCTGCCATCCCACCTCTCCCATGGGACAAGGCAAAGCCCAGAGAAAAGTAATACCAGCAACTCAGAGCCTGATGGTGTTTGGGGAGAAGGTCCAACACCCAGAATTGGCACACACACACACCGGTAAGAGGAAATAAAACATCAAAAACTTTGCTCTAATGGCACAATCAAGGCCCAGCTCAGGCTCCCACTACCAAGGTCCTGAAGGAGTCCATCAGATGCATCCCACAGATCCTTCAGGAGCTGTTTGGCTTAAATACAAGGTGCTGCTTAGGGCATCTGGAACTAGCCCCTGCTCTGAGCACCATTACTGGCAGACACAGCCCACACAGATGACTGCACAACCACAGCTACACCAGGTCCTTACCTTGAGCTTCTCAAAGCGATCGCTGAGCGATGCCACTTGGTGGTCCCGGTGGCGGCCCACCAGTTTACATAAGGCACAGATGAGCTGGTCGTCAGCGACACAGTACATGTTCACCTTCTCGTTCTCGTGCTCCAGGCACGTGAGTCCTCGGAAGTGTGCGTCGGGCACAGGCTCCACAAGCCGGTGGCTGGTGAAGGGCTTCTTGTTGGGGTGGGTGGCCCGCAGGCAGCGGTCACAGTAGGACACCTCGCAAGTGATGCAGGTTTTGACAGCGTCCCGGGGGGGATCCTGCTCACAGAACTGGCAAGCGATCCTCTCGCCGGCCACGGACATGGTAGGGCTGTTGCGGTAGGTCCTCTCGCGGCGGCTCTCACTGGGGGAGTTGGGGCTGCTCAGGGATGCCTTCTGGAAGCGGTCAATGATGTTCTGCAGGGTCACATTCCTCTTGAGGCCCTCCAGGCCCCGGTGGTTGAGGGAGATGACATAGCGGCAGGTGGGGCACTGGAAGGCAGTGATGGGCTCGATGGACTCGTTGGAGGAGCAGCTGGACACCAGGATACGGTGGGCGCAGCTGAAGCAGAGGCTGTGGGCACAGGGCAGCAGGAGGGGGTCCTCAAATAACTCCAGGCAGATTGGGCAGGTCAATTCTGACTCCAGTGTTTCCATCTTTAGTTGACACGATCCTGATTCAGTGTCAAAAACCAGGGAAGGTGGTCAGGTACCTGGGAGAGAGGAGAGCAGAGACGTGAGCCAGCAGCTACAGCAGCTCTCCCAGGCAGCTCCTCTCCTTC